ACATCCCGTCGAGTATTTTTGTTACTTTATTTTGTCCCTATACCAGATTAAAGAGGGACATGATGGAACGGGTTGTGGCCGGGATCGGGCGGAGCGGTATCACCCTATTTATTTTATATATATATATATAGTTAGTAAATATTTTTTTTTCCGACTTGTTAAGAACAATTCATGTTTTCTTTAAAAATAATGATAACTCTTTTATTTTTGTTTGATAAAAAATTTAAATTTGATATTAACTTTAAACGGGACGGTGACTATAATTCCAATACCCGTCTCGTTCCAACTTGGGGTAACGATCCCCGCCTCGTTTACTTGGTTAGGCTGATAAACCCTGCCATATTCGAAGTGGGACCTGTGGATATATATCGGATTGAACGAATTTTTTTATCATCCCTAACAAGTAATCCTAGACCGTTTCCATCCAAATTCTCATTCTATTAATTGAATGTCAAACCAGGCAACAAATATGCGTCAAGAATGCCAACAATGGACCGTGAAGGTTCAAAATCTCAACATGAACATCAAGTTTCTCGTCACTCCTTGGATAAACATACACACGAAAATTTAAAGTAATTTTTAATTATGCCAACATGTAAATAATAAATTCGTTCTTCATGATGTGAAAAACTTGTTACAAATGTATACTGTATCAAGAACCTTGATGAAGGTGCTAAAGTTGACGATGGGGAGTAACTATGGGGAACGGTGGGGGTTCGGGAATATGGATGCAATAAAAGTGAAACATCGAAAACTAATGCTCCATATTAAAAGCTTATAAACAAAATTATAACATAGACAATGAGTCGAGAACCTCGGCTGCAATTTTCTCCCAAAAGAATTTGTACCTAACTTCAAATTATCTAGAAAGACGTATATTCAGACATACTCTCGAGGCAATATATGATGATTCAAACTCAACTTATATTCTGTCCTCTTATATTCTGTCCTCTTCATCAGACAACATTATCATGCCCTTTTTTACCCTCGTTATTTTTAACCACACATTCTCCGTCAATCTAATATTCAAAAATGTATTCCTAGAAAAAAAAGGGATCAAACAAAATATATCTATCTGTCTTCTCTCTCTCTCTCTCACGTATTCACACACGCACGTGTGCGTGCACATGCAGAGATATATACATACATTCTTCTCACAACTATCATCAAGATTAGTCATATTTCGTTAAGATAAACAGTTAGTGATTTTACTTGGTGGAGAGTTCGAGTTCGAGAAATGGACAGTATTATGTGGAGTTTGGTGATGACATCAACATTATTGTTCATTATAATTCTCTACACGAAAATCAAAAGTGCGATTCTTTCGAGTTATT